TGTTATCTTTATTTGAATATATTAATCACATTATTTTCTTGGCAAATTTCATTATTTTTTATATTAGTTTAGCTTCTATTTCCTATTTTTGCTATTGGTACTTAAACATAGAACAAGATTATTAATTATGATGTAGTTAAATTTTGTGTAATTTAGAAGAGAACTAATAATTTCATATTATTAGTGTAGATCTATTGTGCCACATGCTGCACTGCAACTACATCATATTGCATCATACTATGTATTACTGTATCATACTGTGCTATTGTAATATGAAAATATATATAAATACAAGTGCTGATAATTAATAAAAATCAAGTTCTTTAATTTTGGTTTTAAGTTTTTTTTAGTTAAGTTTAAGTATTTTAGTTTCTATTTGAAGTTTCTTTTGGTTTAATGTTGAGTTTGACATGTTAAATTGATTTATTTTGGAATTTTAAGTAGTTATTGATTAAGTTTATCTTTTAGTTATTAGTTTAGTCTTATATTTGTCACATTTTATCTTGTCAAGAAATATTATTTTATTATCATAAACACCTTTTAATTAAAAAGTCTAAAATAAATTGCTGTGAACACAATCACTATTGCCATTTTGAAATACTTTCATATGCAAAAGCTCAAAATGGTAATAGTACTGATATTCTATAGCAACCTGATTGGATGTTCAGTAGTATATAGAGTAGGTATTATAACAAGATTATTAATTATAAAATCAATTAATATACAATTTTATTAACAATAAACAAGAAACAGTTTATTAACTAGTTAGATTGTATTAATAAATTGATGTCTTTTGATTTATCTAAAAGATCCTTTATTTATATAAAATAATTTATGATTAAGTTATTACAATGTGGGATATGTTATACATATAAGATAAATATAATATAGCAGATAATGTTGATATTTCTGAGAACTTTGCTATCTTTGCTATCTCTATTATCTTTACAATTTATGTTTAGTTACATAATCAGAATTAAGAAATTAAGGAATTAAGAATAATTCTGAGCTGTAACAATGATATAAGTGAAATATTTACTTGAGGTATAAGTAAAGTTTTCTTCTTAGTATTCTTTTCAATTTGTGGGAATTCAAGAGTTTCAGATATTATTCAGGGATCAAGTCCAGTTTTTTCTTATATCTTTTACAAAACCTAGAATGAATTTTATTTGTCAAAATGCTTGGCAATTCTGTTAATTTATCTTCCCATTCCAAATATTTGGAAGTTAATATTTTATTGATCTTTGTCTATATATTCATGTTGCTATTATATCTCTTTAAATTAATAGCGAAGCTAATGACTAAAGTCACATAATAATCAACAAAAAATAAATGTACACTGTTCACTCACAAGCTTGTGTTCGATTAATATAGTTAATTTTTTTATTATATATTTAGATATTGTGTGAAATGAATTGGTGAACATAAGATAGCGAAGCTAAAACAAAGCTTCTAAAGTTTATACTATTATCTTAATTTTAATTTCACATTGTTCACATTTGATAAAATAGGATCCAGTTTTATATCTGCCTTTTATATCATAATCCTTATAATAATCTAACTTGCGTAGCAGGCATAAAGATTCATTAATAATTCTATAATAATTATCATTTTCACTATTTTCTCGATATAAATTAGGATATTGTTCTATTATTTTATTACAGAAATAGATACAGTTATGAGTTAGATTAGATGATATACTTATCTTAGTCTCTGGTAAAGATTTATTATCCTCACTTATTATATTTTCTAAATTAGAGATATTCAATAAGATAAAAGGAGTGATTATATTACTTATCTCTGCTTCTGAATTTTTATTTTTCTTCTCGCAAGAATTTTGCTGATCACTTCATGAACTTGGTTTACAAAGTTAAGTTACATATGTTAATACAGAATTTTTCTCATCATCCTGTAACTCAGCTAAAGTTAGACTTACATTAATACTATAATCAAAGAATACATTATCTATAATATATTGAATTTTCTTCTTTGTTAATTTAGATATGCTATCAGTAGAAAAGGAATGAATGCAATAAACTTTATCCATACCTATTGCATCAAAAAGTTTATAAAGCTTCTTTGCCTTTTTGATTCTTTTATATAAAAGATTCTTTATTTAAAATTCTACTAACAATATTGGATTCCAGATCAACTTGTTTTTCTGATGCTATTTCATTATATCTTTAAATAAGAGCCTTTCCAAATAGATATATTTGATTACTATTATCCTGTTATCTGACAAGAAATTGAATCACTCAATTAAGATTATTTAATTGTTACTAGTTATTTTGTTATCTGACAATATGAAATTTTCATCCATGTTTTAAACTTGAAAAACAAGCTTCATGAATTTAATTTATAATATAAATATAAAATTAAGGTAGTTATTGTCAATGCATTACTTTTTAATTATGCAATAAATTTATTTTCTGTTAAAGTTACCAGCAATATTAATCAAGTTATTGAAAATTATCAACTTATCCAACTTGATAATATAATTATAGAGTAGTAGAAAAAGATTTTATAGTTTTTTATATAGGTAAGAATATTTAATTATTTTTTTTTCTTGAACTTTGTCAGACTTATGCATTATTAAATTATAATCATATTAATTATAATATTTTGAATTTTGTATTTGCTTATATTATTTATATTATTAAAAGAGTAATAAAAAATAATAATAATCAATTAATAATAGAGAAAAATAATTTTGAAGATGATACTTTTTTCTTATCTAAATAGGATATTAAAATTGAAATGATAACAAATACTTTTGATGTTGATCAGAAAGAGATGAATATAATACTAAAGCTTTTTTTTTATAGATATTAAGCTAGTTGATCTCAAAATTTGTTACAAAAAATAATTATAGCTATTACAAAATGAAGAGAAGAAACTGAAAATCCAGCTCATGTTGAATATTGACAAAACCAGATTGACAATAATTCTTATACTGCAACTACTTAAAAATTTTAATAAAAAAAGATGAGGATAAGAATGAAGACAAAGATAAAAATAAAGAAGAAAAATTAGAAAATAAAGAAATTAATGAATTTATACAATTAAGATTTAATCAACAAAAATGAATTTAATTTATATTATTTATATTTTTTATTTAAATTTAATAATTATTAAATATTAATTTTAATTTATAATAAAGTTTTTAAATTTAATATATAATAATATATTTTTATATTTGATATAATTTTGAATTTTAGTATAATTTTGAATTTTGACATGATCTTGAATTTTGACATGATTTTGAATTTTAATATGATTTTGAATTTTGATATGACTTCAAATTTCAATATTTCACAATTAAATTTTATTTGTCAAAATAATTTTAGCTTGACAAATTGCTGAAATTCCTGAATTTCAGCAAGCATTCTTATCTTAGTTACATGAAAACATATATAAATACAAGTGTTAATAATTAATAAAATTTAAATTTTTCAGTTCTTGTTTAAAGTTTTTTCAGTTTAATTTTAAGTTTTTCAGTTTAATTTTAAGTTTTTCAGTTTGAATTTAAGTTCTTTTGGTTCAGTTTTAAGTTTGTTTAGTTTAGTTTAGTTATGTTAGTTTTGAAGTTAGTAATTTTTGATTAAGTTTTCTTTTAGTTTAATCTTGTTTTAGATTTAGTTTTATCATTTTTATTTTGTTAAAAACACTATTTGGTCATAATTCAAAGTAAATTGCTGTAAACATAGTTATTGCCATTTTGAAATACTTTCATACACAAAAGCTCAAAATGTTAACAATATGCTTATTAACATGATCATATATTTCAAAGATATAACAAATAATTATACTTATCAGTGTAATCACATATTTAAAGTATAATATATTAATGTGAGCCTTTAATTTATCACAAAATTCCCTATACTTGTCTTAGTCAACATGATTTCCATTACTTTTTTTACTTTTGCTTTCGTTGAAAATATTATTTGATTTTTGGTGTACAAGTTTGGATTAAATTATCCATGCTTTGTGAAAGTCTAAAATGCTTCATTTCTCAAATACTAGCATTATCAAAATATGTCATGTGTAATGCATCCAGCTTAGTCGCATCAAATACTTTGAATTGCAAATGTAAAAAATACATCATTTAATAGTTTTTGATAAGTACTAAAATTTCAGCAATTAGACTTGAGCGGACTTTAGCGTATCAGTATGGTAGTTTGCCGATAAATTTTTTTATTGTTCGATCCAACTTTGGAAATGCAATACCCTCAATGATAATGGTAAATGCTACTGCGACAACACACAATGTCTATCGGGTCCAAAAATAGTTGCCAAGTTATTAAAAAAATTGCAACAAACAAACTAGATTATGTTACTCAAAATGATATATCGATATCAATATTCATTCACAATGGATATATATCAATATATTACTTTCAATCTACCATCTTCGCTATCTTAGTTGCGAAATTACGAAATTCCGAATTTCATATCGAAAGAAACAACATAACAATGTACCCTGGACAACAATATAACCAGCAGAAACAGAATCAGGGTTACCCTGGCTCTCAACAGCAAGCATATCAACAACCACCACCACCAACTTCGTATGGTGGTTTCGCACCACCCCCCTCACAACCTTCACCCGGGGGCTTCATCTCTCCAACTGGACCACCACTTCCATTTTACGGTGCTCCTCCTCAAGGTGGATACCCGCCCATAGGAAACTACGGACCTGGAGGCTTCGCACCACCAGGTGGTGGCGTTCCACCAGTTGGTAATTCTGGAGGTTTCGCGCCACCAGGTGGTGGCATTCCACCAGTTGGTACTTCTGGAGGTTTCGCACCACCAGTTGGTGGCGTTCCACCAGTTGGTAATTCCGGAGGGTTTGTTCCACCAGGTGGTAATTCCAGATCACCATATCCCGGCCAACAAGGTCAGCAATACGCTCCACCAGCATATCAACAACCTCCAAATTCAATTCATAATGCTGGTCCGCACCCTGTGCCTTATGGTCAGCCGCCTAGTAATCAACCTGTTCCGGATGGTTTTACTGTACACCATAACCCGCATGCATCGCAGGCAGCTCCTAACTTTCAGTTGTCGAATTGCACTGGTCGAAAACGAGCATTATTGATTGGAATTAATTATTTTGGCACCAAAGCCGAACTGAGAGGTAAAAATCTAGGAAATCTAATGTATTAGAAATGATTAAAAATCAAAATAATGAGAATAACAACAATAATAATTAATGTCTTCAATAGGTTGTTTAAATGATGTCAAGAATATTAAAAATTTCATCATGGAATATTATAATTTCCGAGAGCAGGATATGGTAATATTGACCGATGACAAAAAAGATCCAAAGATGATACCAACACGAGCAAATATTATTGCTGCAATGCGTTGGCTGGTAAAAGGAGCTCAGCCAAATGATTCGTAAGTATTTTTTTTCTCGTTAGTTAATGACCATTGACTATACAATCAGAAGGAAAGACTTGGCGTTTATTTGCTATTGTTTTGTCTTTAGTTTCTTCCTTCATTACAGTGGACATGGTGGTCGCGCAAAAGATCTTAACGGTGATGAAGACGATGGCTACGATGAAACAATCTGTCCAGTTGATTTTCAAACTGCCGGTCAACTTGTTGATGACGTAAGAAATTTAAAAATATTTAGAATCATATTTTTTTTGTATTAAACTTTGAAATTATATCTTTTCTAGGAAATGCATGATATTTTAGTGAAGCCTTTACCAGCTGGTAAGTCATATTTGGCATTCTGAAATTTTATTCTTATTTTCATTTCAATTAAAACTAAATATTTTTTTCAAAATTACCAATTTAGGTGTTCGACTTACAGCAATCTTTGATTCTTGCCATTCTGGCACGGCATTAGATTTACCATACATATACTCAACAAAAGGTGTCATCAAAGAACCTAACTTGCTAGCAGAAGGAGGTAGTGTTCTATTAAACGCAGGAATGTCTTATCTGCGTCGTGATTACAAGGGTATCGCCGATAGTCTAAAGAGTTTCGGGAAGAAGGCAATGTCTGGAAATAAGATTAACGAAAAAAATAAGCAACAGAAATCGAGTCAGGCAGATGTGCTTATGTTTAGCGGGTAGGTGTTGAATTTTTCATAGTTTGTCATTAATAATATATGTGTGTATGCTTATTATTGCTTTTATTTGCTAGGTGTAAAGATATTCAGACATCAGCTGATGCTCACGAGGGAGGCGAGAATACTGGTGCAATGTCATATGCATTCATCAGTTCGTAAGTGTCGTGTTGATTTATGATTTAATGATCTAATTGTTCTGTATTCTATTTATATGTGATGTATTGTATGTATGCTAATCTGTTTCGGAATTGTGTTTTATTTAATAGACTCAGAAAGAACCAAAAGGTTTCCTATCAACAATTACTATCTATGATTCGAGACATTCTCGCATCAAAATATTCACAAAAACCTCAACTGAGCGCGTAAGTAACCTTATCAATACAAGGAACCTTTTTCCTATATAAAAAATCTAACGATATTTCTTTTATCAATTAGATCTCATCCGATGGATATGAACCTCATGTTCATGATGTGAGTGTGAATTTGAGACACGGTGGTTGGCATTCTGCAAAAATTTATCGAATAGTGTATAGATAGATATAGAGGAATTTATTGTCAACAATGTAATATCGATATTATCTTAATTTTGCATATTATTTTTGTATTTTATTTATCACGTGACACACGACATTGATTTTAAAAACGATTTTTCCCACTTGTCAATTTGAAAAAAATGAAAAGTAATTGAATAAGCTACAAAGAGCATGCAAGTACTAGTCTTTTTGCTGCTTTCACTTTTCGTGGTTATTAGAGACTGACTGTACAAAAACAAAAAATATATTCAACTTGGTGTTCTTTCTCCTAAGAACTCCAAGATCGAAATTACTCGAAGAGATCTATATAACACGAGGATAGAACACCGATGCTGGATAACGATTTGTATGTGTGTTTACAAGTTGACTTTATAAAAATTTGACATGTCCCGTTTTTCCCTTGAGTTATATAGGGCCCGTGAATGAAGAAACATGCCACGTACAATCAAAGCTGTGTGTCGGGAATTTTGGCTACATTAAAATTAGTATTGCTCATCTTCCATATTGGCTACAATAACAATGCTCTAGAGTATATGCAAGGTAAGCAGCTCATTTAGAGTTAGCACATCATAAGATAGATTTATCACCCTGTTCGGGTTGTAAAAATCTAAAAAAGTATGTGAAGGCTTTTATTATTATTATTTTTTTATTTTTATTGCTATAATGTAGTCTTTATTATTATTATTGTTGTTGTTGTTATTAAATCATAATTTCGTTTTGGTAATTTTTTACGAAATCAAGGAATCGGAGTTGATTTCCATGTTCATCGCTTTATCAACCGACTTGGATGGTGCAAGACCAAAGAACCAGAAGGTTGGATCATTTTATTGTATTATTAATAAGGTTATTATTTTACCTGTTGGATTCGGTCAGACAACTTTTCTTTTATAGAAAATTCAGTGCAAAGAATTGTGAATAGATTGACATTTACCATGATTATCATTTTTTACTATCACAAAGTCAATTAATCCTTTCAGCTGATTAATCTTCAGGACTTATATTATGATTAAAGAACCACGAATTCTACTTTTTGTTTCTTCGATGAACTAATGCATAGATATTTGCAAATAATTCAAACTTCATTTAAGCAAATGACACCGAAGCATGATATTTCGGGTTATCAGATTTCTGCTTATTCTGGTAGACTCGATAAAAGAATACAATTGTACTTGTCAAAAAAACACTAACTAAATTCATGAATTATTAAATGTCAAATATTTAACTATATCAAGCAATTGTTATTGTGATTGGCTAATCTATGTCGATCCAAGCAAGATTTAATCTTAAAGAAAAGCTTTATATACATATACATATATCGTTTACTTTATAATTTTTAAATCTAAATAAAAGTTAAGCTCGTTGGGTAATGTGTATAAATGTGAATAAATACAAGTGGTGTTGTTTAATTGTAATGGTTGTAATGTGTCTAGTAAAGATAGTGATGACTGAAAAATAGAAGTGTTTACTATTTAAAATAGAGTAACGGTGAAGCTTCGTTAATTTCTTTGATTGATTTGATTGGTCAATAATCATGCTTGGATCGACATAAATTAGCCAATCACATGAATGTCTTCCTATGTGACTCACCATGTAATGTACCCTCCATTTTACAACGTGGTGACAAATAAAGCGTCATCTAGTTGCGGCTTCTAAAATTTTTGAGTTGTAACATGTTGCAACGGGTGATAAATAAGCGTCACATACTTGTTGCGGCATCTCTAGGTACGATACAACTTTTTTGTCTGCCAGGTTTAACGTACCCGGAGTATTCTATGCAATAAAATATGGTACTCAACTTTCCCGTCTTGGAGATATTCGCGAGTGGAAAAAACTTGCTTCTTTGTATACCGTTCTTGTCACCATCAGAATGTCCTTACAGATGTGCTGAATCTTTGGTGGGAGTGAAGCAGGAACAATCACCTCAACTTCCTATCGACATACACCATCACTACCACCCACTAAACTCATCTCTTTTATTTTACATTTCTTTTTACGGTGTCGTAACTGAGCTAAAGAAAGTGCGTTTTTCCTCTTTTCCTTTCTTTAATTTCACCTTTAATCAACAAATCTCATTTTTTCCCTTTCACTTTTTTTTGTTTTGATACCGTCGCATTTTATCTTCACATACTTCTTTAAAGTCATCCCTGCTCGAGTTTTACTACCATCAGATTCTGTGTATATTTGCAGTTCCAGCTTGTGAATGGATACCGTTATCTCCATTTGTCGGGAAGTTGACGTGATAGGTTTTCTTTTCTCTTGTTCTTACATAATTTTAATCAACTGTATTTCTTTTAACTCGATTTGACGATAAAGCTATCATCAATAATTCCTTCCTTTTTCCGAGCTGATTCCCTTTTTGCTTATGGTTCGACTTCGACTGACTTCTTATCCTACTTGCAGCCTTCCTAGCATCGTAGACCTTGTAATCTCATCCAGTAATTCGCTTTTCTTTATTCTGCCCATCAGGATCTTTTTCTTTCTTCAAGCGCTATTCAACAAAAGATTCATAATTACTGTGCCTGGTCGCTTGTCGGCAGTAGACCCATGGAAGTGTAAAGTGGTAACAACTACATAGACGTCCAGTCTGTGAGAGCTCCCTTTACAGCTCTACTACACTGCGCCTGGCTGCTTGTCGGCAGTTGTAGAAGTGCAGGCAAGATATGTTTACACGCTGGTGATTCAGCCCGTAAGCATTCTTGTTTGTAAGGGTAACCACCATGGCCACTTGTCGGAACAAGAAGCCAGGAAATAAAATTGAAGTCTAGATATTTTAACTCGATTTTTAAAGAACAATCATGAGAAAAATATTGACATTCACATACACTGTTCATTTAAATACTTTAGAAAATAAATGAGAGTTTTAATGAGCTTGCCTTGTCAGGAATATTAAAGAGATAGGTCAAAGATAATTAGTAAAAAATTCTGTAAATATCGTTATATCGATTTTTCGTTATTTCTACATATCTGCATTTATGTCAATTGAAATTCCATTAATTAGTTGAAAAAGCGTTCTCTTACAGAGTGAGTACCTTTAGAATATAAGAGGATGGACCACTTACATTAAGCCATTCATCAACTGCCTTAAGAAACTGTTTCTGCATCGTAGTAACGAAATAAATGCTAACTAATTTTTTTTAATTGGTTGTAGAAACCTATTGGTTTAAGCAGTTGAATAAAAATCTGTAAATTTACATTTAGAAGTATAATTTTTTGCGACTTGTATCCTATTTTAATACTTTCAAATAAGACTAAATATAATTATGCAAAAAATGGAGAATTTATAATCGTTATTAATTACAAGTAGTGCTCCTCGCAAACTGCTTATTTCAGTTTGCAAACTTTGCAAAGAAACGTACGTATTCATTTTGAAGTGTTTTGTTTTTCTGTTTTTACCTAATTAATAATTATTTATTACAGTCCGATACAACAACCTCAGAGCGTAATTATTTTTTAATTGTCGACTTTCGTGTTTAAGAGATAGCTTGAAGAGAATGTGGATGAGATAAAGGAACTAGAACAAAACAATTAAGCAACGCTGAACAATTCGCCACCAACAAAACCCAAGAGAATCATCAATAGTAATAGAGAAAATGGAAAGAGTATATATTCTAATTTTTATCAAATTATTCTAGGAATTCATTTTTTAATTCCACATCCAGTTACCATTTCAGTGGCTGCCCCAATAGCTATAGTGATATTCCAGCTCTTGTGGTTCTTCTTCTATCGGCACAGCGATTCCACACGGAGAACGAAGGATAGTATTATTGACAACGCAAACAACCAAAATGTGTCGATTTTAAAGAATTGGGAAACGTGTCAGTAACAGCGAATTCTTTCTGCGTATCAGATGATGAAAAGTATGTCAGTGAAGATGCAAGTGAAAAGATTATTATTTTAATTTACTAAATTAGATCATCAGGAGAAGAGTAGAAGAAAAGCGAAGAGCTATTACGTAACATGAAGTCAAAATGACTTTTATACCGCTATAGAAAAGGGGAAAGCAAATTGCAACTTTAATAAGGTGTTAAACTAATTATCCAAATATAATTAGAATATTTTAAATTTTGTTTTTTGCATATCGTTAAGCATAATAGAACTTCTGTTTGTGCTGTGCGTGTTTTATTGTTGTTATTGTTGTTAAAAAAATATTTATGTGGTGTGAAAGTGCTCCAATGAATTAGTTATCGATAAACTGGTTTTACTGTCCAAAGTAATATCGTCGACACTTCTATTTATGTGTGTACATAATAAAGGCACTTTTAATTTATTATTTAACCTCCATTTGTGAGTGCTCTGTGTTTATAGAACTTCCGTTCGTATGTGTGAATCAATTTTGCGTTAAATTAAAAAAGAAGAGTTTTATTATTATTCTAAAAGTGTTCCAATAAATTGCGATGACAATTCTCTAACAGGCAATAACGATTAATATACGTACATAGCAAGTAACATCATTTTTACTACGAGTTTCTTGGGCGGTTGGTGAATGACTTAATATAAGCGGTCCATCCGCTTATATTCTAAAAGGTACTCACTCGTAAGGAGAATTATTGTGTCGACTTTTTCAACTAAGTCTCAGTGAATTAAAAATAACTGGGCTTAGAAAAGAACAAACGGTTTTTGATATTTGACATTTAATTAATGGAATTCAATTGACATAAATGCAGATACGTAGAAAATAACGAAAAATCGATATTTACAGAATTATCTTTGACCCATCGTTATATCGAGTTTTGACTGTACAGTGGTTCCAAGCACGCCATTTCTTTAATAGTACTGACATGCTCACTAAAACTCTCATTTACTTTCGCTCCCAAACAGTGTTGGGGTTTGAAGTTGGACATGCTAATTGGACAATGTCCAATTGGTCCACTAAATTCGCAAGATCAATATCGATATCGAGGTGGATTTACCATAACCATTTCTGGAACCAACTTCAGGTTTTGCTTTTTCATTTATACAGTGACTAATAAAATTATGAAATCACACACAATTTTATTAATAAATATAGTAAAGATTGAAATTTTGATTATATATAAAAGTTTTATAATAACTAGAATCTTCTAATATAATAAAGTTTTAATTAATATTAATTTTACTTTTAATGATCTTTTAATAACTTTCAATATTAATACTAATAATGATTATGTATTAATTTGATTTCTTTCTTCAAATGAGATTTTTATTATATTTAATTAATTAATTATTTTGATTATATAAAAAATAAAATTTTTAGATATCTTTTTTTTTCTGATAATTATGTAATATCTATCAGTTTTTTATATAATATATATTATTAAATTGAAAAAAATTTTATTATTTGTAAATTTGTTTCTATAACTGTGAATTTATTTAAAGTTAAATATTAAATATATAATAATATATTTTGAAAATTAACCAATTAAATTTAAGCTTGATGTATATATATTTTAAAGAAATATTTTTAAAATATATGATTCAAAGAAATCATTAAAAACAAAAATCTTACAAAAATTTCACTGTGAACTTAATTTATGAACTAAAATTAGAAAGCTGTAGAATTTTATTCAAAAAATAATTGTAATTATATATATAAGATAAATTATAACAAGTTGTTTTTATTGCATTTCTTATATTAAATATAAAAAATATTAAATCCAGCCAAAATTACAATAAATTCTTGATGCTGATCAGAAAGCATGTGACTTTTTATTAAAATTTGGCTGTACTAAAAATCCACCAGTGACAAACTCTGACTAATCTTTTAACTTTAATTATCAATATAACCAATACAATATAACCTTGTTCTCGCCAAAAGTTGTTTGAGAAGTTTGTTCTTTATCTCATTTATATATTGACAACTAAATATCCCAAAAGCTGAATATTTGCTAGTATCATAAAGGAAAAACTCGTTCTAAGACATTAAAAATGGCGGAAACTGTGCAATATTATCTCGAGCAAATGGTTCCCGAGCTTGAAGACTTGGAACAAAAAAAAATATTTACTAAAGTTTGTATTAAGAGAAATTTAAATTTTATTTTCCATTCATAATGAACTTCTATGCATCAATTCGATAGGCGGAGATCAAGGTAATCATAAAGAGACGTACTACTTTTGAGTACTCTTTAAAACGTATCCAGCCACAAAAAATGGACTTCTTGCGATATATTGAATACGAGATGAATTTGGAACAATTACGAATAAAGAGAAGAAAACGAACGAGTAATCATTATACTCGAGATTCTTTTAATTATTTTGAATCCGTAATTTTGTTATATTAAATTGAACTGATTGAAATAGATATTAAAGGAAAAACAACGATATCAGACTACGCGATTCCTCGAAGAATATATCAGATTTATGATCGCGCTTTGATAAAGTTTAAGGGTGATGTCGCATTATGGTTACAGTATATTGATTATGCAAAGACTTCTGGTGCTGGCAAGTTGTTGGGTAAGATTTATGGGAGGTAAAGAATTGCGTAGTAATAATTTTTATTAATTAATTTATTCATATATGGGTATTTATAATTTTTTATTCTAACAAAAAAAAGAGCGATTCAATTACATCCAACAAAACCAGAACTTTGGATTCTTGCTGCAAAATGGGAATTCGAATCTAATGCCAATATAGTTGCGGCCAGAGGTATCATACTTTGTTCATTTGCTCAGTAACTATAATCTACTATTTTTCATTTATTAAATTTACTCATCTATAGTATTAATGCAACGGGGCCTCAGATTTAACAACGCTTCAAAACAGCTATGGCAAGAGTATTTCAAATTAGAATTATTGTACGTGGAAAAAATAACCACGCGTCGTAAGATTCTCGGGATATTATCAAAGGAGGATAAAAAACATCCAGAAGAAGAGTTAGAAATCGACGAGGAACCGGACGAAGTAAATATGATTCGCTTGCCGAAACTTACTGGCGAGGATCTTTACTTATATGAGAATAAGAAACCACTTTCAACTGAGATTGATGAGAAACAAGTCGAGAAACTTAAAGAGGATAATAATAAAATGCTGCAAGGGGCAATCGCGAGAACCGTTTTTGAGAACGCAATTAAGGGTAATCCTAAAATTTTGTTTATTACTGTGGTTAGGAAGAAGAATTTGTTTCATTTTTTGATGATTTTCTTTCCTTCAATGCGACGCGTAATAGCTATTCCAGATGACTTAATTTTTCGACAGAAATTTATTGATATATGTTGTGAATTTACAAATATCAAAGAAGCATTAGAACTAATTTATAATAGGTTATATTAATGTTTTTTCTAATCTATTTTAAAAAAAGATATACTGACAATAATTATAAATTGACTAAAGCATTCAACAGGATTTCTTTAATGACGCCAAAGCACGTGCCTTTCTTGCTGAAAGACATGTGACTTCAATTTTGAATATAGAGAGTCCAGAGTTTATAAATGCTTTGAAAAAAAGTATAAATGAATTTGAGCAAAGTATTGAGGTTTGTTGAATCACATTTTAATGATTTTTAAATTTCTTTATTTTTTATTTAATTCTTTCCAATTTTATTTTTCCAGAAACTAATGAATACCGAAATTTGGTATCTTTATACCAAATTCCTGACTAAATACTTTCATCGAGTCACTGAACCAAATTTGGTAATATAAAAGCTTATTTCTTTTGTTTTTTTAATACTTAAAAATAATTAATATTCAATTTGTGTGCAAACCAGCGACGATACTTTTCAAAATTGTTAACCAAAGTCTACGAAACAACAGATACCAAAAACCTTACATCCAATGAAATGTACTTTGATTGGGCAAAATTTGTCTCGTCACAACTTGATTCTCATGAACTGGCGCTGGAAATCTTGGAAAAAGGAACGCATAAATATCCAAATTATGCGAAACTGTGGATAAAACGAATCAATATCACATTAGAATTGAAAGATGATACCAAAAAAAATAATCTTTCGCTTTTATTTGATGAAGCATTAAAGCTGAACCCAGTATCACAAGAGCTGTGGAAAACGTATCTTGATTGGCTATTTAAAAGATTTAGTAATGGCGAATTGGTGGAATCGAAATTGGATAATTTGTTAATGGTAAGTTTCTCTATTTGTCTCTGTGATGTACTTGTCTTCTATTCCTAATTCTATATCTTCTTCAAATGAATCTTTCATTAGAATTCAATGCTTACAGTTTCATCTTTATCCGGATCATCTTCGATCAGTAATTCCTCGACGGAATTAAGAACTATCCAATATGTTGTTGCATCTCGTTATCTCGCTTGGGCTAAAGATCAGGGAGGAATCGAGAATGCCAGAAAAATATATGAGAGGTATAATAAGGATATAATCTATATATAATCTTTGGATTGCCGTTTAATCTTAATTGTTTTTTTTTATTAGTTTAATTTCCAAAACTCTGCCCACCAGATCATTCTTTGAAATATGCATTAATTTGGAGAAAGAAAATTTAGAGCCCTCCACTCAATCAAATGATATCGAGCGCGTTAATCGGCTTTACGATCAATCGTTAAGTATAACTGAATATCAACAAAATAATAATGATAATGACGATGCTGGTAAATATTATGCATTTATCAAGGATTGCTATAATAACACTATTAAATATATAACGTCTTATTTAAATATTCAGAATTATGGCTTGCCTATATCGGGTTTCTATTGGATAATAAACAGTTTAGCAAGGCCAACCATATCTACTGGAAGGCTCACAAATTAGTACCAAATCCAGAATCATTTGAAGTCGAGTATCGAGCATTGTTAAACCTTCGAGATATCAATGACAAAAAGGTCGTGTAGCGTAAAAAAGAATTTCAGGATTCTTCAGATAGTACTACTTACATAATAAATTAAATTATTTCAAGATAAAAGATATCATTATAGTTTAAAAATAAAATCAATTTTGTTGTAGAATGATTAATTTTTTAATGCTGGCCCAAATAAAACCGGCAAAAAATGGCCAACCGGAAAATAAAATTACTAAACTGACATTACCATAATGGTGATTTACCAAATCTTCTTCCTGGGATTCGAACGTACGACCTTTCGACATGTCAAAAAATAAAGGGAAAGGCAAAGCAGTGATTCGTGATGAATTAGAAAATAATCCAATTAACAATAATTACAACCATAATAGTGAAATATCTTCACTTCCTGGACTTTTAGCAGTGCGCTCTATCATTGAAGATGATTCTATGATAGCTACGAGACGCTCTTCACGAACTTCTAGTTCTATTACTGGCTCACCATCTAATCGGACTATAGGAGTTGATGAAGAGGCAGTTGAACCTGGTGATAATTCGTTTGAAAGACAACAACCTTTCACAACCTCCTCCACAAAATCATCAATCTTTGAAAAAAACATTAAGTTTGATCCATTTGCCTCTTTACGAAGAAATTCAGATATTCCAGGTCATCAGGATGTTTGGTACTACGACAATGATCCACGAGGATTCTATGATTTTTCTGATGTCTATAGCGAAGAGGATGAAGCTAATACAGAGAATGATGATGACAGTGACAGTGATGAATGGGAAACAGATGTATATATTTGGATTTCTTTTTTTCACGTTATTATGATTATACCATTTCTAAATATGTGATTTCATTTGAAGGTAGAATACATAATATTGGATCTCGGGACAGATGTAAATGAAGAATTGATCAACAGTCTTAATATTCCGTGGATTCCCGCCAAAACTAAGATACCAGAAACACATAACAATAATATTCACAATACAGAATCAATAAAAAAAGCAAGAAAAGACATCAAAAGTAGCTCCAAAAAACTAGATTCTAATGAGGGACCAGGAAAGACACGATACAACTTGCGTTCAAAGCCACAAGGTCGACAATCCATTGACGAGTTACCATCCACACCTAAAAATAACACAAATAACAGCAGTAATATGGGCTCGAATGACTACGATTTTCAATTTGTGGTATGTAATAAAAGGTTTCAGCGACGTGTCATAATTCTTCTATTTTAAGGAGATTTTTGATGTTGAAAATAGGGTCTTGAACACGGAGAACCTACTTTGAAAATCGGTAATAACCATTTCGAAGGGGTATTAGATGAATCAATCGGTACTGATTTGGTTTTTACCATAAGAAAAGGTACAAAAGCTCTATTGAAATATACATAACGGCTATTATGATAACCTCGCTGATTTTTACTAATTCATTGCAAAAGACGAAGGACCGCCACCTCGCACAAGCCTAGCTTACAAGTGTCATACGGTTAAAAAGATTCGTTTCTCTAGGATGGATGTTGTTCCCAAAGCGCAAAAGTTAACCACTGAGGGAGACCTTGAATTGGATCAAGACGAAAAAAGTGTGAGTGAAATGGACACGGATGATTACAGTTATATGCATCTCAATTTCGAGGATGCACAGCTTGATAAAGATGTTGCCGATGACGAAAAAGAAATTGAGAAGGATGACAAGGCAAACTAACGAAAATATGTTGATAGAGATGGAAGGGGATTAAAATTGTAATAACTGGATAATAATTTAAATATGTTATTTATTATTGAATCTTTGATACATAAATACTCTTTGCAAATAGAACTTAAAGGTTAAGATGAATAAAAAATCATCTGATGTTTGTAATTGATGTGAGATTGAAAATTTCTCAATTTAGAGAAATGGCATTGTTGATCAAAAAGTATGGGTTGTGTGCACCTAAAAGCTGTAAAAGCGACGTTAAGCTAATAAGAAATCTCAAGCTCAAAGCCAAAAAACTATTACATAAGTATGACTTGAATAAATTATGTGGATCATTACTATCCTGAGGTATAATGGAAAAACAGTTGATCAGCAATGTACTATTTTTACACATTTTAATCGAATTAGCTTTCTTAACAAACTTGGTTCAGAGAAAATTTATCGTTGTGATTTGGCTGTTGTTTGTGTTACGTAGTTAGAATTGCACATTTAGCTACTTTTTACCAAAATCTATATAAACAAAACATAATATTCATTCTCGCTTCTACCAACCTCGAATTTAATTTGTTAATTACTAATAAAATGATAAAATTGACACACGTCTTGTAAAGTATAGAACAATTTAATAATGCTAATATTCAATTGATTCTAATCTAATCTGTTAAGTTTGTAAAAAAAATAATTATAATAAATATTGATTATTGATAAAGCTCATCAATAATAATTATTATTAATTTTACAGTCAGATTTCCCTCGGAACCATGCAAAAACTTGCACTTAGAGAGGTATTGCATTTATATACCTTATAAGTTGGGTCAAATTAGAACGTGCATTTAGAGAATAATTGCACTCAGAGGGGTTGCACTTAGGGAGGTCTGACTGTAATAGGCTTTAAAAAAAATATAATTGTATTACAATAATTAATTAAAAAACCATTTTATTTTTAATATATATTTTTGAAACTGACACTAAAAAAACCTGTATTTAGAAACGTGTGACTGTATTTTATAACTTTAATAAAATAATTCTAAGATTATATAATTTGTTAAAAATTTAAATTTAAATGATAGTTAACTTTTATAAACTATTTTATTTCCAATAATTTTGACATAACATAATACATATATGGGATGGAATCAAATTATTCTAATAAATCTATCCCAAAAAAATAACGTATTTTTTGTATTCGTAAAATTTGGACTCGGTCTTTTACGCAAATAAAATATACAAACAATAAAGAGAAAAACAATAATATATAATATACTACCAAAAAATTTCGAGCCATCAAAATATTTTTAAATCAATAAATTACGAGTTGACTAAATTTATATCTAATGTGATCTTTCTTAACTCTATAAAAGATATAAAATCCAAATTATGTGGATCCATTTTCTTATTAATCAAGAGGGCAATTTTCATCATACCACCACGTATTCAAGGTTTGATCATCACTACAGCTGACAAGTAAACTCTGCGAGGCATTCCAAACAGCGCTGTACACAATACCAGTGTGCTTTCGCAATCTTTGTAGAACCTCACCGGTGTCTTGATCCCAAATGTATACTATGCCATCCTGTTAAAACAAATCAAAAGACAGAGAACGTTTTATAAAAAGTCAAGAGTCAATTAAAATAGGTATGATTTTTTTGCCATTACCTCAGAGCCTCCAACAATTAAGGAATCACTAGCAAATCCTGCGCGTATGAAATTTTTCGAAGTGTTTTGATGGCCTTTTAGTTTTCTAATAGGACGTCCCTAAATATATCACCAATTTTTTAATGCGAGGATTAAAGTGCTATAAAGAAGAATTCAAAATTTTCACACCATCCTGACATCCCATAAACGATTCGAATTATCTTTTGAACTGCTTAGCAACAAAGTACCATTAGCATTCATCTCGACCGAAGTAACCTCACCCAAATGTGATGTTATTGTACGAATACAAAGTCCAGAGACAATATCCCAAAATTTAATGGTATTATCTTTTGAACTTTTATGAAAAATTCTGTTAAATTAATTTCACTAGAATTGTTATATATATCTCTCTCTCTCTCTCTTACCCGCTGATTATAAGATTTCCCAGCGGATTAAAAATGGTTTTCGAGACTGACAATTGATGTCCACTAAACATTTTTACCAACTGCCCGGTATTCACATCGTATAATCTAACAATTTTATCATAGCCTCCGGAAACAACATGGTTCTTGTATATATATGAATTGTTAGGATAGTACAAGTTGAAATGTATGAAAAACGCTAGGGTTTATATCTATAATTTACTTACGTCTCCGGGATGAAATTTGACCGTGTAAACATCGCTAGTGTGGCCTGACAATGATGTGATACAAATATGTTTGCTTCCTTTCATATCCCATAACTGTATAATAGAAATATCAATCATTAAGTGAGAAAATAATTGCATTGATACACAATATTCACATTAGAGAGCAAACCTTGATTGTGCCATCACCACTGGCACTAGACACGACCGATCCATTCTTATTGGAGGATACATCCCAAATTCGAGATTCGTGACCCTCCAAAACACCAATCTCTTTGGAACTTTCAGTATCCCATATTCTGAGTGTATTGTCGCTAGAGTAGTATACAAGATTTTAATAGAATGAGAATCCAATTAAAATAACATTTAATTTACTAAGGAATATCAGAATTTACCTTGATCCACTGATAATCTCTCTTCCTTCTTGGCCCACAAAACCAACACATTTAACATTTCCTTGATGTCCAACTAAAGTCGCCCGAATAGCATTGGGTATTATGAAACTTGTGTAATCCTGTAATAATCTATTTAGAAAAAATCAAGGAAAATAAATTTAAGAATCATTTTTTAGAAAAATACGATAATAAATTATTATACTCACGTGTTTATTCTAGGCGCAACACGTGGATGATAACGTGAAAATTCGATTTGGTAGGCGACGGCTTGTCGAAGGAGAGTAAGTAACCGGCTCGGTGGTACGTGTACGGTACCTTCTCGGTTGAGAAATCATTGAAAATATTGCTGCTGTTTCCGCGAAAGCATTCGGAAAGTTCAAAGGAATAATAACAAGTGAGTTGCTAAAGGCGCGTATATTTGGCCGTACCATCCTTATCCGCATTTTCAAAATTAAGCAGATTTTGGAATTGCTCTACTAACTTCTCTCTATTAATTGTCAATAATAATATCATTATTATTTGGAAAATAAGAAGCCTATTATTATTTGGAACAAAAGTTCTATAGATAAATAAAAAAATTGCCTTGCCGGTCCAATCCCTTCCCAATTTTTGAACGACGGAGCATCGCGAACAGCTTTGGCTGTAAGTAAATAACACAAATCTTTAAACTCATTTGGATTCATCTGGAGATGTTCAAGAGGCTTCATTCTTTTGTTTAGAAAAGCAAACGCCTAAAAGAAAAAAATTCCAAGCATCCTCAGTATTATGCAACAAAGAAAATATAATAAAAAATGAATACCTTTTGCATTTCTTGATATTCAATATATTCAAGATACTGTTGTTTATAAACAGCATACAAAAAGCTCTTTTGATTCTTGATTAGTGGTTTTGCACAGAGTTTGTCAACTTCTGCCCAATCACCTTCTAAAAGAAAAAATTTCGATAATTGGATATTATCCAATTTAGTATTATAAAGTCCAGTCCGTCACAAACAAATTCTTTGTATTACACACCAAGAATAGCTTTTTTTAGTCGCTTTACTTCTACGACATGCTCTTCACGTTCATGCCATTTCAAATTTGCCTCATCATACAAAGTAGTTTTTGACGCATTATAACCTCCATCTGACAGATATTGCATAACCATTCGAATTATATCCTATTTGGGAAACAACAAACTGAGAAATCTAATAAGCAGCAAGTTTTCAAGAAACAGATCATTAAAGTCGATATTATATATAGCCCACCTCACGGATATTTGGATCTTCAGGATCAAAGATATCTTCGGTAGGGCGTATGCAACTAACGTGTTTGGCAACGTGATGATTACTAGTTGCGAGCGCTATAAGCCTAGATTATTAAAATAGAAATTGGGAATTTTAGCTTATACAACTGATTCCAATGTTTAGAAGAAACCGATCTCGAATTGTGATAATTCATCAATTATTTCTTCTCTTACGATTTTCGTCGTTTGGTGCTCTCGTCTTCAGCTGAGTCGGCAATTTTATCGCCGGATTTTGGCGCAACGTGCTCAGAACTATCTTTATCGACCTTCTCAGCCACGGTAACTTCTTTAGTAGTATCTGTTGAAGCCTGAAGCGCATCTATGACATTTTGTTGAAGACTACTATTGACAGTAGGATTTGAGGTTGCTAACTATTATAGCAATATTATGAGATAGCCAAAAATTCAGCAAAAGGGTGAATTTAGTTTAGCAAAAATTTATAATTTGAAGCTAACCCGCAGAGAAGCGCTGTCTTTGCTTTTTAATCCGAGTTGTCCCGACATCTAAACCTTGAATTTTCTCCAAAAAAAAAATCGTTGAATTTTCGTTGAACTATGACAAGACGTGATTGGCTGATAATCACGTGAATTTCTATCTGAAAATTAAATTTTAGGTTTGCATCTAGAATCAATTCAATATTTCGAAACGGAATTTGCTTCCGGAAAACTGATTGATTTCAGCAAATTGTATTACATGTACGATACAAATCTTTCGGCTAAACCATAAACCCACGGGTTATTTATTCATGGAGGCAAAGACAAGATGTTACTAAAATAGTATTTGAAGAACCTGATGTCGAATTATTGATATGTCTGATATGGAAATAGTATTTACTATCAAATCATATCATGAAATTCACAAAGGAATATATTATTATGTCACATGACAAAGAAAGATATTTTAAAGTCAAATAAGCAATGATCGTCTAAGTCTATATTGGGTAGATATGGATATCGAAAGAAAAAATAATCGAAACAAACAAGGGTAGTGAATTATTTACATATAACGGAACTGATAAAAACTCGACATGGTGGATTGAGGTTCAAAACGGATTATAATAAATCCTTCTCAATATAACGGATTTTTTTTAATTAAAACTCGATGTAACAGATTTTTAACTAATAAAACGGATGGTCCGTTACATCGAGTTTCAACGAGAATATCATGAATCCAACCAACAAAACTCATTTTATAATCCATGCGGCATTCTTCCAGTAGTATTAACGCCCCGACCCAGAATCCCATTAGATTCACTCACAGTAGCTCTTAATCCGTGCATGCCGCTCACGTACTCTGTCCAGACATTCCAATCGATATTCGTGGGCACCGACCAAAATGGATTTCCATTACCCAATGGGTCTTCATCATCAAATATCAATGATGACACATCGGTAGTGGCGAATGCGTCGGCATTTGGCGGGAAAAATGCATTTTCTTGATTTAAAAATTCCGAGCCAACTGGTATAAATGTATTGGCGGTGGACGAAGAAGATGACGCGGGGGATGGTGAATTTTCATATGGTATTGATGGTGATCGTTGTTGTTGTGTTGTAGAGGCAGAAATATTTGATCTATTAAATTGTGATGCTGAGTTCTGTGAATGTTGATGTGTCGATGATGGATTATTATTAATATTGTTGTTATTGTTGTTGTTGTTATTTGTTCCATTTTGAGATGCAACAACCGCAGCGGCGGCGGCGGCCATTTGTTGCATAATAGCTGCACTATATTCATCAGTTGTAGTTGCAGCTATTCCAGGTGTTGACGATGAAGGAGACGACGGTGCAAATGTAACTTTATGATTACTGTTAGGAATTGATCGACCATCTCCAAGATCATTTCGCATACACATGACAACATTTCCATCCACCTTAAACGGATCTTCGCCATCCTCTTTTGATTTATTAATATGTTCTGTACCATTAGGATTAAATCCGTCGAGATTAATATTACGCACACGTAATAAATCTCGTATTACCAGAATGCACTTTTCGGACCCAAACCAATAAGGTTTCAAATGCTCCAAACATTTCAGAGACATGCGTAGTCCATGTTTTGCCACCTCACGGAATCGATCATCACCACTTAATGCATTAATGACATGCATAACAGACGCGGTAAAAAAGAAATATAGCGTGAAATTCCAGGCGAGTCTTAATTTCCCCTCTTTCATTGCACGATATGCAATATGTGTGATATTATTTGCCGCCATTGTACATATTGTGAGGGAGGGAATTGATGAGGGCGGTGCTTTCGATTTAGGCCCTCGAATATGTGGTCGATGTAATAATATTTGAATAGTGTAGAACATTAGATGCATTACTCCGCGTCTTTGATTCATCGGATCACCAACAGTTATTGATGGATCGTATTGTAGCTCGGGTGGAAGATCATCACGCCATTTGTTAAGTTCTGCATCTAAAGTAGCGAGAACAGAGTCCATTGCAGCATGTGTTGTGTGTTTTGATTTTATTCCATAGATGTGTGACAAGACACGTCCAAGAATTTGTGTCAACTTTATTGTTCTCACCCATGCATCTACTGATCCTGGTTCATCGGTGGGTAATGCACCAGGTGTAGGGAATGGAACATCACAATCCGATTCATTGATATTCATCGGCTGATTTATTTATAACTTTCATTAATTATAGATTTCTTAAGTTTTGAAAGAAAGTAAAAAAATTATAATAGTTTCTACTTACTCGACCTAATCCAGCACTAATAAAACGATCCGACATATAACAGGACCACCAAACACGTTTTCGCACTTCGGTCTGTGTTTCATCGAGACTCCATTTCGCGGAATCACGATGTAATCCCATATCTTGTGCGATACGAATAGCCAGCCCTGTATATATCCAAGTTCGTGAATTTTTCGCACCTTGTTGGTACGCGGCCATAAGCAAAAGTGCTTGTAGAGTGCTCAATTGTGCATCGTCAAATTCATCTTTGAGTAATTCTTTGGCACGTTCGAAGAATCCATCACCTATTTTTGGATTTTGGGTTAATATTATTTCTTTTTTTGCTCTTTCTCAACTTGATAGTAGAATAGTTATAATTACCTGTTGTAGTTGGGTCATCCGGATTCTTACGAACAGCAGGTTGATCAATAAATCGTGATGAAATCGCGAAAATCGCGTAAAGTAACATTAATATCGAAGAATTATTCGAGAGATTTTCGTATTTCTCTCGTAATTCAACTGGATCGAGAAAAGGCATATAAGGATGAACTCTGGTGAAATATGTATCCAACATTTGATCACATAATTCTCGAGGTGGCAATTCAAACACGGCCGACTTCGAACTCCCTTTATTATGACAATCACCACGTGGTACGGTAATAATTTGACCGTTCGCCACTCTGTTTGTGATTTTGAGTAAGAAAATTCCTGAGCTATTTCCCAAATATCGCGTTTGTCCGGTTTCATCAATCGCCAACTGACCCATACTGTCATTCAGATCATAATTACTTCCATATTCTTGATTGCTGTTGTCAGATAACGATTGATCGGAATCTTCGCTATTTGAGCGAGATCTATAACCAGCACTGGTTTTTTTGTGTCGTGAATATCCATCTGTTCGATGAGCTGAAGATAATCCCGAAGATGATGAACTTTTGGAGCCACCCTCGTACGATTTCCGTGTACCACGTGATTCTTGACCAGATTTTCCAACTACAGTTTCCCCACCATTGAAATTTGTTTCGTTCACATTAATCCATTCAAGATTTGGTGAAATTGCGCCTTCCGGTAATTCTCCGGATTGAACCAAACCACCAAGTATCGATTCCATCCGTTGAAGTCTTGTTTCTAATGCCTCAATATAACCTTTTGGTGGTCCTCGTTTCTTAGGTGCATCTATAAACGCACTTTATTTTAAATAATAGTATACATTTATGCATGATTAGACGTAGATGAAAAATTTTTAATTGTCAATGCTTTAAATGAATAGTTACCATTCATATCCATATGCTTTGCAATTCGTACAAGACGGAGGATCGGATCCAGCCTGTACACCGTCACAACGAACCTTTTTGCGTCTACAAGTGTCACAAGCTCTCGCGACTCTTCTACGTTTTGCATTGCTAGATTCTTCGCCAGACATAATTATGAATATTATACTTTTTTCCGATTTTAATTAATCTATTTATTTATCAATCGTATTGTTGGTTTCGTTTCGCTTATTCAATATTATCCAAATAAATAAAGTTGTTTTAACACGAAATGGTATGATTATTCTATTAATATATATACTTTTCTTGATAATAATTTAAATTCGTTGCATTTTACGGTTTTTTAAAAAAAAAACTTTGATGTCCGCTCAACTTCCTCTTTTATAGATTTCTTTGTGATGACTGACAATTGACGTACGTGTTTGTTTGTAGAAATGAAATTATAATACATGTATAACAAAGTATTACGTATGTTAGTCATTAGAATATATATCTTGAATTCTCCGAATAAGTTGTCTATAATGAAAATAATACGCAATGCAACGCAACTGTACAAATTGTACAAATACAAAAACGTAGCTCTACACAATACGTACTGTTTCTATAATAATGAACCTAAACTTAAAACAACCGAAAATTTGAAAATCACAAATTATGATATTTATGCAACTGAATTAATGAGACACCACACTTTTGATAACAAATTGTTTCCCTTGTATTCTATCAATTAATTGTAATAAAAAAAAATTGTATGAGAACAGTCTATATAGCGCAAAATTGGTCTGTTATTTCGTGTTAAAGATTGCCGAATGATTGAAACAAAGTTGATGATGATTATGCATGATGACAATGTAAATGATCATTCACAGACTGAGTATAAATCGTATTTGGTTCCTCCATCTATCGAGTCAAATTTTTCTGTCAAATTTTTGCATTGTGCTAACTTACTCGGCAATAATTTCTATAAAAGGAAATTATCAAATTACAGAAATTAGAGACGTGTAACTTGTTAAATTTCTTAAAAATTTGCAATTCTATCGGCCGACCTATATATAATGCATGAGTAAATTAACATACGTATATCAATTTTTATTCTAAGATTCTTCTTTTGAGATTTAACGTTCACATCTCTATTGCTATTAATCAGCCAATAGAATAACGCGATTTTTTAGAACGCCAAAATTAGCATCATGATAAGAAAGATTCATTTAATGAGGCTAATGCAAATCTCAATTTCAGGTATTACATGTATTTAGAATTAAGAAAATAAGGGCAGGTCTCGTTCAAAGTCACACTAATTATCGGAGTTGCAAATAATCAGTATGGTGCATTTACTGCATAATGCATAAAACTTCCTATGTCTACGTATTTCCCGCCACAAACAGTCAAAGAATAGGAAATTAATAATAAATGCGCAGTTTTTCTGGCTACAATAGCGATAGTACACATAAAGAATTTGTTACGGACTCTTTTATTACTACATATATCTTCATATATATCGTCATTTGACGGAACTTCCGAAATGGTACTCTATAGTTTTGTTTATTGTTGATTTTTTGAATTCAGTACACTATTACTAATCCATTATCTCCAAATAGATATTAATAAACTGGAAAAAAATGCTGAAAATCAACACAAACAAAATAATATTGTTATACAGCACTCCCACGCGATGTAACGCGGCGGAACTTTCCATTGAATTCGAACTCTTAAAATTGATAATCTAATAAAACTACTGTTTTCTGTGTTTTTTTTTTACGTACTTGGAATATCAAGGGACAGAATTTTTATTTATTCATATCAATATGGAATGGTCGATTTTTGGTGAAAAAAATAGTAAAATGACGAGAGCTTTTTTTTTTTGTTAACGTTAATAACGATAACTAACTATTTTGACGATTAGTCCGAACGTCTGCATCAAAAAGAAATGATCACTATTGTTTTAATGAAATAAAGAACGTGCGTCATTAACCTGTTTTTGTTTTGTTGTAGGATTTAAGGATACAATTAATTTTAATATACTAAAACCAGCTCATAATTGAAGCACGTTTGATAAGAATATAACGATTATTAGAGGTCGAATTTTTCCTCGAAATATTGACATTCTAACTATACATGTGTTTGATTGAGATTCGAAATCGCACTTCATGAACATGCTTATTTAATTTATTAGATTATTAGTGCACGTCCTCGGATTCAATATAAATTACGTATTAGTATGCAATATTCTATTAGTGCATATTTTCTTTAAATGCTTGATTCTAGAAGAGTATATTTATAACGATAAATTATTTAAATGTAAGTTAAAGTGTGAAGAAAACCAAATATCTAGAATATACAAAATATAAACTAAAGAAAAAACATAACCTAACAATAATAATAATACGTAAAAATAATATATAATTCAATAATAATTGAACAGGCTGAAAATATTTTTGCTGTAGATAAAATTCAATTCAAAAGTAGTCATGAATTTTGAAACTTAATTACATAAAAAAAGATCAATAAAATATATTTTATCATAAAAGTGAATGAAGTACGTACGTACATGTATTATTAAACCCCCGGTGTAAAATATTACGTAGTAAAGATTTGTGATCTATATTATTTTCAATCAACTAAGTATTTTAAGTCGAAAAATATAACTTTTTACTCCCAAAAAATTGAATAGAGCTCTTAGAGGTACTACAGAAAGATTTAGGTATTTTAATATATGACAAGCAAATATATTTGCCATTACACCTGTTAATGTTAAGCTCAGTCTCCGAACCAAACAGCGACATTTTTTGGTAACACAAAAATTAAAAAAAAAATGCAAGGAAATTTGTAAATTTAAATACGTACGTATGTACGTACGTACTACAGCGGGGACAGCATAAATCACCCACCCAGGCAGGTTGGATTTTTAAAGGGTTATATAACTTGTGTTCTATACGTGAAGCCAAAATCCTCTTAGCCAAATTGTAACTGGGTCAAATGACTACAATCTGGTTAAAGAGGATTTTTTTGTTTCACGTATAGAACACAAGTTATATAACCCTTTAAAAATCCAACCTGCCTGGGTGGGTGATTTATGCTGTCCCCGCTGTATCGCTATGTTGATTTGTTATCAGGTACATGTATTAGTAATAGTATCATGCGATCAAGTAAAGTATCAAAAACAGAAGATAAAGACATTCCATAAAGAATGAATTCTAAATTACTTTACTTCATTTCTTGAAATTATTTGAGTTCTAAAAATAGAAGGTCAAATAATTCCGAACTTTTTAACTTTTTAAACTTTTCATTCATCTCATTCTCTGCATGTCATTAACTTCATATGATATATGGTAATATCTTTTTTGTTCATTATAAAATTTCATAATAAAAAAATGAATATTTCATTTAAAAAAGTTACACGTACGATGAATGATTTTAAACTTCGTTATAACAGGTATAAGTTATTCCTTATCAATCTAAAAAAAAATACCAATAGTACGTATAACGATAACATAAACAACATCTTGGCGATTCATCACCAATAATATTTGCATCAAGTAAATTGAACGTAAAAATCTTGAACTTAATTTACGTATTCATACCAACTTCTTTGTTTAGTTACATTCGTAATCAAAATAACGATAATTTATAAATTTTCCGTTCGTAAAATTTTAATCCCGAGAACCGAGTCGGACTGTCATTAACGTTAGTGCATTTAATATTAATCACCAAATTCAATTTATTATTTATACCGGTACGGGATCAAAACTTGATTCGAATTTTTTGGCATTTAAGATTATAACATATCCTGCTCCGTCTAGATATTGAATATGATGAAAAGACAATCACTTGAAGCATTTTTTTTATCAAGTTGCAAGGGCTGGCATTCGCCCAGTTTAAATTTGGCGAACACGCTTTCGTTATTTGAAGATTTTGTCAATAGACTGAGTAATTCCACCGCCACTTCGAATATGCGATATCTGTGAATTTGTAAATGAATCGAAAAAATGATACTACGTGTACTTAGTTTTTTCTTTAGAGATAGTCTTTAACTTTTTTTCCATATACATTATTGATAATGTCCATTTTTTTCAATGGAATTATGTTATGCCTATTTCTTCGGTGCATTACTTAAATTTATTATGTAGATGGGCTAATTAATTTATGTCATTTTCATAATTATTATAATCGCCACTATAATGAGGCCCATTATATAGAGCGTGACTATGCTTAACGAAGGTGGTCGGGACTATTAATAAAAATTTCTGACATCTTCGTTATACCAGGATATAACGAATTAGTAAGTTATTACAGAATTCAAGCTTCATTATATTGAGATGACCAATTACTGTTGTTTGCAACTATTCAGTTCAAAACATGAATTATTCAAAACTCCCAAAGAACAATTAATGAATTCGTGATGTTATGCCTTATCGCGATCACAAACAAAGAGGATTTGTGAATAACTCACGTGACTTAACTTATTCCCGCTTTATTCATTTATTAATTTTGGTGTAATTAAAACAATTATCTGAGGAATCAAATTTTTTCTTCTGAGAAATTTAATTCTTTGCTAAAGCTTAAAAATAATTTTGATTTTTTCCTCAGAAGTTTTTGGTAAGTTTGGTGGATCAGAAGTTATAATTTCTCTTTTGGTGGTAGTTTCTTAATTTCCACAGGATTTTTTGGTAATCATTTACTTTTTTTTTGCTCTTGGTATGGTGCATAAAATCTAAAGTCATCAAACGTTTGTATTTTATAAAATGGATAAACTTCTTTACTAAGAAGTAAATACAAAATTTAATCCGTGAATATGCTCAGAAAAGGCCTATTCTATCATATTCACGGATTAAATTTTGTATTTACTTCTTAGTAAAGAAGTTTATCCATTTTATAAAATACAAACGTTTGATGACTTTAGATTTTATGCACCATAGATTTGGCAAATTATGAAAATGAAATTATAAAAAATGAATACAGTGAAAAGAAAAATGGGGAATTTGCTAACTTTTTCATGAATAATTCATGTAATAATTTTAACGAATTTAGTCTTTGCTTTTTTTGTGTCTTGTAGAAGTCTCGAATCTCTGATCCTTTGATTAAAGTCAAAATTTTGAGTTAATAGAATTTAATTAAATTTTCTTAATGTTTTCCAGGTTTAGTTCGATAATTT